TATCAAAATAATGAATCTCATTATTCATCAATATAGGTATACTTGCCACCCAAATTCCAAATTATTATAGTTTGAGTTTGTCCACACCCAAATCTTAATTATTTTGTTAATTTAATTTTTATAAAAGAAATTTGTTTTTTGGAGGTTTAGGATGTGTTCAAAGTTTTTCCAGCAAGTATAGATATAGGACTATGTAAGCATAAATTAATTTATATAGTACAGTATTCAAAAATACTGACAAAATTTAATTGGATAAGTTGGCAACACAAGCATAGTGAACATTCATTGTGATTGGTTAGATTTTGTTAATCATCTTGTAATTTTATTTGCTAATTATACAATCAAATTATGAAATAATCAAGATAATCATTGTGATGATCGTGAAATAGTGATAAGTATATAATATTAATATTGGTCTTTAAAGTTTTACTCAAATACTAAGACACATAATTATGCATATAATAAATGCCTTTAATATTTTATAATCTCTTATAAAGAAGAAAGATCAAATTTATTATTGTGAGATTAATAAATTTTATCTATTCTATTAATTAATACAGTTTTTTTTTGCCTTTCTATACATTTTCATTAAATATTGCAAATAGTATTAAAATTTGAGGGTTTCGAATTGAAAATATAGAATCTAATAAATCTATATATACTCTTTTGCTAACAACACTAACTTAAATCCTGCAAAGAGATATAAAGAAGTAGTAAAATATATTAAAAAAAAAAGTAACAATAGTAAAAGCATAAAAAAGAATAAATATATTATCTAATCTGTTATTTATAAATTGCAAACAACATCTTAAGAAAACTATAAATATATATATATATTGTGAGCCCCGAAATCAGTCATGACCTTATGTGCCCGATTATCAAAATTAGGTCCTGTCACCTACCTGAGTAACTGGTCATATGAAAAGTAAAAGAAATCTTACTTTTCTTACTTTTATTACTTTAGGTAAAATGATGGTATATGGGGCATTTAGTTTTTAGTTATTATGATTTGGAAAGAGGTTTTAGAGATGAAGTATTGTAAATAGATAATGTAGAGGAAATAATCCTCAAATGTAAATAAAAGTTTTATTATAAATAAAGGGCTTTTTGCCTAAGGGGAAAGTAACAAACGATACTCTCAAGTAAATACAATTGCTTAAATAAACTTACAGTATCAGACCCATATTGAAAATAAACTATAATCCTACCCAAACTAAAACTATTGTTAAAAACACCATAATCAACTATTATGCCTATTATTAAATCACTAAACTGGCTTTAAATCGTTCACTGTAAATCACATAACCAAGCTGTTAAACGAAGAGAAGGACTTCAACCCTGATTTGACATATTGTAGCTCTAGGTTAAGGAAGAAGAAAGAAAATAAGAAGAAGCATAGGTTAATAAAAGAATAAGTTGAAGGAAAGACTTAGAAGAGAAGAAAAGTGTACTTACCTATGAATAAACCACCTTGCCAAATCTAATATGCCTATTTCAACTTAGCCACCATAGGTTACATGAGGATTAAAAAGAATTAGTGACAGACTTACTGATTTGCTACACAACAATATATAACTAAAAAAAGTTAAATCATATAGTTTAAATAGATTACAAACTAAATAGAAACTTTTAGAATACTTAAAAATTAGTTTTCATCTAACTTCTGAATTAATTTGCTGATTACTAAATTACTTTACTATCTTGTAGAAAAGAAGATATAGTTTCTAAATATTTATATCACAACCTCTGCAAATTCATATTCGTGGCTGTGAATCAATTCTTGTGACTCTTGTAACAGAAAATTGTTACTTTAATAATGCTTTAGTATGATGAGATGATCTACAAAAATCAGCCAATCACAGTAAAGTTTGCTATGCTGGTAACACAAATGATGATTTTAAGGAGGTAATGAAAAAAAATTTTTAATTGTGTCTCTATATAGATTAACGAGTTAGGCTCGGGTTTACTATTCAGTAGATCTAATATGCAAGACTGGTCGTCTACACATTTCTAAATCCTTGCTAGGGTAGGACATCTGAGAATATTTGGCAGCTGAAATATAGAGATTCTTCTTTTAAAAAACAAAAAAAAATATTTTTTAATAATTTTATTAAGCCACTAACAAGATGCTATAAAAAAAATTCTTCCTTAGCATTGCCAACAAAATTTTACGCTCATGTAATATTCGACAAAATTCTTTAAGTTCATTAGGTTAGAGTTAGAGTCTATATTGAGGAGACTTAAATAATAAAATCTTTTAAAAAAAAACTTTTTGATAAAGTGCAGAATGTGATTTCCTATTCAGGTTGTGAGTTATAAGTGATTTTGTAAAAAACAAAGGCTTGTTTTGAAATTTTCTAATCATATAATGTTATACTCAATTGAAAAAAGTTACCTTTTTGATGTATTCAGAGGTAGTGGTTTATTTACATATCAAGAATAACTCATACAGAGGGATCACTAAAATTTCAGGTTAGAATACTTCAGAAGATTAATTGGCAAGGCCGAAATTAACAAATTTTGCTCAAGGTCACTAAAAGTTTTACTAATGAAACCATAACTCACTTATTAAGTAAAGCTGCCTAGCTGATAATTTTGGCCCAAAAGTAGTTAACTTGTATTACTAAATGAGAATCTTCTTGTATGAGTTATCAAGAATAACAATTTATGCAGTATGTAGATCAATATATAAAATCTGCCCATTTAAGAGACCCCCATTATTGACCCATCTATCCTAGAAAGTTATTCAAAAAAATTAGATACTTTTATTTTTACAATTTTTATTAAGCATCGTATAATGTTAATAATTGATATATCATAATTATTAAATATCATAATCTGAATCTTTTTGTTAATAGTTGCATATCCATAAATTGTTTTCCAGTAACTTTGACAAATTAAAATTTCAGATTAGGAATACAGTCTTCTCTCTTTATAATCACACTTTTGAACATACCAAAAACTGAGATTATATAGAGGTATGATTGTATACTAAAATTGGTTTAATTATATAACAAAATTCTTAATAAATGTTAGTTAAAATAGATTAGACCATTTTTTAAAACATAGAAAAATAGTAAAATTATAATAATAGAACATTTTCAAATAGGCATCATATATATACATATATACAAATAATTAGTTTAATTTAATTAATAGATTAACATTTATTAGTAATAGAGAAATAAATAAATAAGTACTATTAAAAAAAACCTGCAACCAGGCTTACAATTATATTCGTATACAGTTTGTTATCTATTTAATTAAAAGTCAGATGATAAATTGTTGATAGATGGCCAACTGTACATAAAATATAATTGAGAGCCTGATTGAAATTTTTTTTTGATAACATTCAAATATAATTTTTTTGAATTAAATATATCTCAAGGTAATGTGAAATTCATAAGTTCAAGCACTTACTAATAAGAGTGTTTTTAATTGTCTAATTAATAGATCAAAATATATTAGGAATTAATATTTAATTAGTGAAAAGTATTTTTAATTAATTAAACTTGCTGTTATTGAAATAAATAAAGTATGAAACACCACTTATTATATTAAAAAAAATCTTAAATAATAAGAGATATTCAAATAGTTTATTATGCTAATTAACAAACTTTTTGCTTTAAATCATTTTTTATTTGTACTGACTTATTAAAATGTTATAACTATTATGAATTTTCACTATTAACACACTAATTTAATGCTATTCTTATACTATTTTTAAAGTTACTCAACTACTAATTAAGGATGCTCTCAAGCATCTTCCTCAATGTAATCAGCTAATAAATAATATTGTGCACAAGCATTATAATTAATTGAGATCATTCTTATAGCTATTATGCTGAAAGTTTATAGTATGAAATGCAGACCTTAAATTTTAGCCAATAAACACAAATTTATAATAAAAAAATGCTTAAACAACTATATCTCTAAGAGAAAATCTTATCTCAAACATATCATACACCTTATCACCTATCTATGACCACATATAACATACCATACTAGAAATGTAACAAGAAGTGATTTTATAACTATAAAGAGAATTGGTAATGTAGATATTTGATAGCATAAATATTACTAAAACATAAGTTCTTGCATTGCCTATAGCAGTCATGAAGTCTAGTTACTGAAATATGAGGTTATTATGCTGCCTACAGAAACCATGACACCTAAACACCAAATAGAGGATCCTTGCACTGCCTATAGCAATCACAAAGTCTATAAAGTTCTTTACTTCTTATAATAACTATGGAGCCTAAATCCCAAAAGCAAGATTCTTGTGCTATCTATAGCAACAAGAGCCTAATTGCCAAATATAAAGTTCTTATTCTGCTAGTGACAGCCATGGGAACTAATAGCACTAACCAATATCTTGCTAAATAAGTGACCTGGTTTTAAAAGTTACTGAAAAATGGGTGAGAAAGGTGGAATGATAAAGCCAGCCTTCATTTCAAGACAAGTAATAGTGAAAAGAAAGATAATCTTCTCTACTAACTAAAGGCTTCTTAAATATATTACTGGTTATATATTCAAAACCATATAGTTACTTCTTGCTTATCTTACCTGTTCTTATATAATTTATATTTCAACAATCATATTAATCAGAAAATACTTGTATCTAACAAGACACCATAAGATTGTATACAAATATTCATAAGAAGCTAAATAATGAATTGAATATGTGATTCATAAAGTTATCTGATTTCACAATAATAATCATTCTGTCACTTTGTTGATAAGCTTTTCATAACTTCAATAAAATGCTAATGATTGTAAATTGCCTATAAAGCACTTCATTTCTGGTACCTAAACCATAGTTTAGTAGTAACAAATTCAAATGATTTTTTTATATATAGCTAACAAGTTTTATCTTTTATATGATTCTGAACTAAAATTTATAAGACTATATTATCTCAGATTGCAAAAAAGTGAATAAACATTTAAAAATTTAAGAAACAAATAATAAAAAATATATTTATTTATATTATATAAAATATTTAAATTTTCTGAAAATAATCTATAATAGAACTTTGTTTTTGTAAATCTAACAATATTCTATTTGTAATTTTATCATATTTTTTAAATATTTTTATATCATTCATATCAAAAGTTGAAGACTGTTGTTGTTTAAAAAAAGTTATCCAAGTTTTTAATGCATTATATGCCTCTTGAATAGGTACTTCAGATGGTTCTTTATCTGAATCATCTGAATCATTTTTGTTATTATTGTGTGCTTTATTTTGAATAAGAGTAATTATTTGTTGGTCAGTTAATACATCTTCAGTTGCAACAGTTTGATCAATATCATTAAAATAATTGATTATTGTAGAATTAAGAGTAGTAGCATAGTTATTCTCTATAGATAATTTATCTAAAATCTTATTAAGCTCACTATTATCAAATAAACTTGCTTCATTCTGAAGATCTGTAGCATGAATAACTTCTTTTTTATTAATGCCAAAAAGGATCTCAGTTTTGTTTTAGCTTCATAATTACATTCTCACTAATGGCATTTCATGTATCTGCAATATAATCAATAGCTTGTTTAATAGTTAGCTTGTTCCTTTTTTTTTTAAAAAAAAAAAATAAAATTAGTAACACTCTAAATAGTTTATAGATTTGGCCAAGCTATTGGTTAAAAATCTACAAATATAAATAATAATCTTGCTTAATATAAATTAAGAAATATAAATTACAATTATAAAAAAATAATTATTTTTAAGTAACTTACTCATTCAAGATCAACTAAAATAACAAAATAAATTAAATACTATATCTGCTAAAATATCCATAAACTAGAAAAATTTATCTTTAATAAATGAGAGTGTACCTTATATTTATCCATTAAGTTTTAATTTTATTTTAATAACAATGGGCTAAACTATTTAACAGTCTGAGTATTATCTGTATGTACAGTACAAGAAATCCAAAAACCTCAATTACTTTATATAGAATAAAGATCAACTAAGTACATAAAAGATAAACTAATTCAGTAATGGCTTATTTTAAATTTCAACAATATGCATAAAATAGTTATTATTAAGTATGTATATATATATTATTCTTGATGTACTATTTTTATACAAAGAAGTTGAGAATTCTATATTCTTCACCTTAAAGGCTTTGCATAGGCCTAAAAATTTGCACTTTTGCTGACCTGCAAAATAAAATTTACTGTTTTTTAAAAGTTTGGCCTGCGATTTACTACATATGTTCTTAACATCAAACTTGCAATTTCAGGTTTTTAAAATTTTCAAATTGTGGCTGACCTGTGCAGGCCTCTATTTCATCTTATTAAGATTAATAATATGCTATACATTGTCTCTATATAGAGAGATTAAATTACTTGTATCTATGCATGTATGTACATAACTGTTGCATTTATAGTCCTTATTGTTTTATTGTGTAATTAATATTTGTAAAGTTGATTAGAATAGATAATCAAATAGCAAATAAAATATTATATATTAATAAACTTTTTACTTATCTATCATTAAGATTTAATATTTATCCCTTAAAATATCAGTTTCAAATATACTACAATTTGATAGCTTAATAACAGATAATTCAAAAATAAGCTTAAACTTCATATTTATATACTAATATGTGCATAATATAACAAAATTCACTTGTTAAAGGAATTTTTACTATTAATCATCCTTATTTATAAGTTACAGGATTGTTTATTAATTTTCTAAAAGTTATTTTTCTTGATCAATTATTACTTACTATTATATAGGTTATGATTAGCAATTGATTAGTTGTGAGCAAAGTTGGCAATTTTATTAGTCAAACATATTTTTAACCAAAAAGCCAAACACATTTGGTTTAGCTGATAAAATTGTCAACACTGGTTGCAGGTATATATATTTAAGCATTATCATCCTGTATAATGTCAAGAAATTGTGCCATAACTGTTATAGGTATATATAAAAAAACTAATTGTATAATTTCAAAATTAATCCTTAAATTGTAAGCTACTATCATCTAATAGAAGATTAGTATAATAAGTGCTGTTTTAAACAAAACTTAATGATCAAATATTATAGTTACTTGTATTACTCATCAGTGAATTTATTTTTAAGTGATAATATTAATTAATCTATAGCTTAATCCAACTATTCGGAGCTTTAAATATATACCATTTAAAAAATATTAAAAAAAAAAACACTTACTTATTAATATCTTTGCTAGCCTTATATAAAATTAAGAGATGATGACAATAGAGAGCTTTGTAGTGGCTTTTAAAACTCTTTATAATACCTGCATCTATTGGTTGCAAGTAAACCATTGTATTTAGAGATAAAAATACAACTTTAATATTAGTCAGGCCTAAATATAATACATTTTGATGATTACGATTTTTATATGTTTTTTGCTTTTTATTTGATGCATGTTTTTTGGAGAATGCCTTAGAGGATGAACTAACAATAATATTTGATTCAATTTCTTCTTTAAAATCAGAATTTGTTTGATCTTGATCAGTATGCTCCTCTTCATTTGGATCAAAGTGTGAAGCAGCATTATCAATTAGTAGTATAACTTTTTTGTTATTAATTTGACAATAATAATCTAATTGCTAAAGCCACTTATTAAATATATTACTATGCATCCATGCTTTCTTATTTGCATGATACTTAACAGAAAGAGAATTTAAATTAATATGTTTAAAGTATTGTAGTTATAGAAATTTACTAATTACCTATAGTCAAAGACAGTGTGTTTCTGTAGCATTAGTGCCAAATAAAACAGTAATTCTTGCTTTATCCTAAAAATACAGTGAATTATAAATATCATATTATAATAAAGACAGGTAATATACTATTCTTTAAACTATTTATCAGACAAATTTTCCTATGAATTTCATATTTAAACTATTAAATTATATTGCATTGTAATCTAGATCATAGTATGTTTTTGAAGTTAAGTTGACAGTTTAAGAGATACATATTAAGAGGTTATCAATAATTAATTTGTGTATAAATTTAATTACTTTATTATAATATCAGATACTTTATATTACATATAAACTATACATTATATCTGGATCTGTTACATCAAAATTACTAACAAAGCAAGAGGATTATACTAACATTCAAATCTATGCAATTTTAAAGATTTTTCTCTAAAATCACAAAAGTTTGAACATTTTATAATAAAGAATATATCTTATATATCTTTTTTTAATTATGAATTAGAGCTGATGACAAAGTCTGATTTGGTTGCATAAGATAGTATAAAGCAGTTTTATCTGCATTATAAATTTGATCAAGTGTATATTGGCTAAGTAGATTATGCAATTTTTGTCTTTCTTCAAATAACATATCTAAAGGCACACTTTCAGACTCTTTATGTAAACAATAAATTCAAAGATTATTACAATATTTGAACTTTTCAACCCAACTATTTGACAATTTTAAATCAGACTCTTCTATATTAAAAGCTTGTATAAAAAATCTTGCTTTCTCTTTGACTAATATTTCGCTAATTGGAATTTTAGCTATAATTGTACTTTCAGTTCATAAACTTATAGCTTTTTCAAGTAATAGAAATTTTGATAAATGGTAATGAAATTTATTTTTTGCTATCTCATCCAGAACTACTACTAATCATTTATCTTTTTCATTAATGATCTTAGAGATAATTGTACAATGAATATTTAATTGAAAATTTTGATTAAAATATTCTGTAATCTGTATATAGTTATAGTGTAAATTTTTAATAGCAAATTCACAAATTTGCTGTTTAAATTTATTACTAATTGCAGTTCTTATTTGTTTAGGTTTAGTTGTTATTCAATTTTTTATAAAATATAGTATTTAAAATAATAATGTTACTAGTAAAAAAAAAATATATGCCAAATCAAAGATTTAGTCTATGTATATTTATAACTTTTTATTTTATTTTATGAGAATTAAAGAACTAGGCTTGAAGGCTTTGAATAAAAAGTATTTATCTTTTTTTTTCTTTTCTTTTTTGCTTGATTTATTTAAACTAACTAGTATATATATGTATATATATTTTTTGTGTGAAACTGAAGTTGTGAACTTATATTTTCATATTTCTCTATATAGCTCTTACAGTAGCTTTATCTGTTTTAGTATTATTACTTTCTTTGGTATTTAATTATATGCATTAACAATCATGATACTGATTTGATTAGATACTCGATTATATCAAAAAAGGTAAATCATTTAAACAATTCATTATATGTAGTGGCCTTGCCAATTTGTCATTTATCCTTTTCTGTTTTTATGTTCTTATAATATTGAAGATTTTTATTATTTCCTTAGTGCTTAAAATTTATATACATTAACAATCATGATACTGATTTGGTTAGATACTCAAAAAGGTAAAATCAATCAATTTGTTATTTTATTCTTTTCTGATTTTTTTTTTTGTTATGTTCTTATGATATCAAATTGTTCTGGTTAATATTGTGTTATTGCAGCAAAATCCTGATGATCATTTTTTCAACAAGCCTTTTACTTGATATTATACAAGGTAATTATTTACTATACCTTTCAAATTACTGTGATCAGAGAAATCTAGAAAAAATATTAATATATGATTAGTTAAAAAATCAATCAAATAATTTTTAGCCAATCATAGGTTGGCATTTTTTCTAGATTTGTGTGATGTATGAAATTTGCTGATCATAATAATTTGAAAAGCACTGTAATAATAGTGTATGCTTATAACTAATAAAAATGTTATTCCAAATCCTATTTAATGTCAAATAAATGGCTTCATCAGCAAATTGAACAACAAACAGACAATTATATGTTTTGAACATTTAATTAGCAGCATAAGGAAAGTGTGTGTTTCTTACCAATATATGAGTATTTAAGTTTCTTTATTTACTAAGAAGACATCTTTTTTTTGAGTTTTATTCATTTCATCAACAATCAGTTCACTAACAGTACGATTCACCAACAATCAATTTATTGACAAGTTCATTTTACTAACAATACATTTACCAACAGTACATTTCACTAACAAAGTAATTCTGATTATTGCCATTAGAGTCAGGTCAGAATTAGGTCAGAGTTAGAGTTAAGGTTAATGTAATTTATAAAAAAAGCTTGTCAGTGAAACATACTGTCAGTGAATGTATTGTCAGTGAAATGAACTTGTCAGTAAATAAATTGTTAGTAAATCATACTGTCAGTACACTGATTTGTAGTAAAATAAACCAAAACTCTTTTTTTTAACTATTACTTGCCTTATAATAAAGACTGGCTCTGTTATCTTTTTTTCCTATCTATCTTTTAGTAGTTTGTAAACTAAAGCATTGCAAGAACCATATGTTGGCTATTAGCTTCACAGCTACAAAGACCTTATGTTTTGATAATTAGATTCTACAGCTGCTATAGATAGTACAAAAAACTATGGATAAGTAGCACTCATATTGCTATATACTGTAATTTTATTAACCTAATTTTTATTTTAGCTATATGTTTTTTTTAACTATGTTTTCCATATATGTATATATAATAAGCTAGTTAGTTGAATGAAGTTACATGTTTTTTTTATGATCATAAATATATATTTGAGTATAAAGTATGCTTGATTAGTTTTTGGGATGGAAATATTTATTTAGAATCGAAAATATAGTATTCGGCAATTCGATATAAAGTCTGTATACTGTTAATACTGTATTTTCAGACTAGATCAATATTATCTATGATAGCTCTGCTGAATATACCTGTAACAATGTATTAAGTCTTATTATAGGATAATTTATCTAAAAAATATAGCTGTAAAAGTACAATTAAAATATTTGTTTATATAAATGTAGAAAAATGCTAAAAAGTAATAAAAACTGGATAATAAAAAAAATACTTAAATTCTAGTCTGTGAATTTCTAGATATAACTTTGATAGATTTGTACTTTTTTCTATCATCTACAATATCTACCCCATGGCTTCACTATAAAAACTACTATATTGTAATGCAAGTGAGAGGTGGTTTAAAGAAATGTTAATCTAGAAATTTGAGAATCCTTTAATTGATTACTGAATTATTATAACTATTTCAAGGTATAAACATATGCAGTTACCATATCTTAAGAAATTCACAAAATTTCTTAGATTTCTAGAATTTTCAAAGCCAGTGCTAATTAGACATTATATTTTTACTAATCAAAATTTTCTGATTCTTCAATTTTCCATATAGGTATATAGAAATTGTTGTTCACATATTTTTAAAAACAGCTGTAAAAAAAACATTAGAAATTATAATGATCAATTGGAGGATTCTCAAGTAAAGTTATGTAATATCTGTATGTATTCAATACTTTTTTACTTGAAAAAATTTCTATATAAGAAATAATTTTGCAAGGTATAATAAATAACTCTAATCAATGTAATTAATATAGCGAGTATAAGATTATTTATTGATTAGTAAATTTGATAATCTGAGATATCATCAATCAAAACATAGTATAGTGTGATTAAAAAACTGGTAATAAAAAATTAATTGTAACATGGGTACCATTAATTAATTATCTATGTTAAGGTTCGAAACAATTCATTTATTCTAAGTTGTTACAAATAACAATGTTTATTATCAATTTCTTTAATCTCACTATGTTATGTTTTGATTAATGATGTTTTATCTAAAATCATGAATCATAATTTAGTATTTTACAACACAATTTATTTATATAATGAATTCTTAACTACAATTAATAATTTCTAATAAATAACTTGATCAATGAATTTGATACATAATAATAGTTCACAAAATCAAAAATCTTAATTTAATTAGTTAATCTTTTTAATAATTAAAAAGAGATTATAAAAAGGTAAATTTACTATATATATTTATAACTTGGTTACAAAAAAATTGTGATAGCGATTGTATATGTATTGTTATTATAACGAGAGATTTTATATTTTAAAAGTCGGGACTATAATTTTGTGTGATTTTATAGAGGTTGTGATTATAAGGGAGGAGATTATAAAGAGGGAAGACTGTAATTGAAATAAATAAATCTGGTTTCTAAATTATATATAAACGTAATAATTAAGGTTAGGATTAGAAAAACCAGTACCTGTTTATGAGAACCAAATTTAAATAGGTAAATTAAGGTGAGTAATTACGTATTTTTTATTTTTGATCACCGGCTGGTTATTTATTTATTGATACTATTATAGTAATTTTTTTCTTCGGGTAACAGAATTCAGATATCATTATTCAGTTGTGTTGTCCAATTCGGTACTTTTCGTCGTCGTTGGTGATCGTAGTTGGACTTGAAATAACTCTGTGATATATCCGGTTTGGATGATGAAAGTATAGCTTAATTAATTTATTTATTTCATGTTTTTTTTTTCGTTAAGTAGACCTGCTAACATGTAGGAATTGTTTTAACAGCGTAGGTCAAGTACATTCAATCAAAAAAAAAACCATATGCGTTTAAATTACTTCTTCGTGGAACTAATTGTTATGTAAGCATCATCTGCCTTTTTCACAAGCTTCATCACTATTTATCAATGATACTACCTTTTACCAGTTTCATCACGTTTTACTAGTTTTGAATATTTCATCAGTTTTGCCATTTTGTCTTTTTTAAAAATTCTTTCAGCGAAAATTAAGATCAGAAGTTAATCGACGAAACTCCTAGATTTCATTTAATAAATATATGACTAGTTGAACATGAATTTTTAATTCCGTGAATTTAATGAAACTCTGTGTGCTCAGATCGAGTTTAAATCGACATTACAAGCAAAAAGCTTTGTGATTTGTAACTTTTAGCTTTTAATTAAATAATATGACGTTCTTAAATAAATTATTATCGTTATCGCTATCGTTATGTGAATTTAATTCATGTATGTATCCTAAAAAATATGTAAGTGTTTAAACTAACATGTTTAGGCAAGCATAATTAATATTAATGTGTATAGCTAATTTTAAACCAGAGTTTGGATCCTAACCTTTGTATGTGTTTTGGAACAATGTTCATTCAGGTTTCGAGGTACTAATTAACCAGTTTTAAGCAGCATCAATCCTTATATAAAATGTATATTATATATTTATGAAATTTTTATTTATTCCTAGAAAATCTAAGATAAATATAAACTATATTAAGATCTCACAACTTTCTTTTAGTGATACTCGCAATAGTCAATTTAAAATAAATTTTAAATATAAATTTAAAGCCTGAAATACACTGTAATTACTGTATTAATTATTTTTATAATGATACCCAATTAACTACAGTCAGACCTTGATATAATCACCAGCCCAGGAAACAAAAAATCAGTGATTATAAAAAGTTGTGACTATATGAAGGTCAAAATTTATATGTTTTATATAAGCCAGGAACAAAAAACAGTGTGACTATATCAAGGTTGTGACTATATCAAGAGTGACTATAACAAGGTCTGACTGTAATTTAAATTATACAGTACTATTGACCTGATTATCATAAAATGAATTCTACCTTTAGAATTTAATTAATATTTAATGAGGTTAAAGTTGTGTTATTATAAAGGGAATTTTCTAATGCGACTACTCCTTCAGTATTAATAAGATTAAAGGAAGCTAAAGTCGGATTTTTAGAAAGTGCGTCTGCTAAAATTTTTACCGCTTCAGTTTTGATATTGTTGTGACCAAGGTTTAAAGATATCTTTACAAAGAGTATCAGCTAATGCCTTTACTCCCTCATTACCAATTTGGTTAGAATAAAAGATCTAAATGTGATAAAATGTTATTTGAGTAAATGTACTAATTTCTTCGTTCCTTCGGAACCAAGCTGATTGTACGAAATATTTAAAGAAGTTAAAGAAGTGTTCTTGTAAAATACCTTAAGTGACAGATTCAATGAGTGTAAACTAGATTCTTTTTGAAGTTTATTGTTAAAATCTAGTGAAGCCAACGTTTTGTTCTGAAGAACGTCTTCGACTAATATAATTCCATCATTAATGCTGGTCTCAACGCGATAAAGCTTCCGAGTCGTTAATGCAGTGTTTTTTTGAAAAATCTCCGCTAATGCTCTTGATCCGAGAAGTCCAAGCCGATTGTCACCGATATATAAAGTGAAGAAAGTTCTACTCTTACAAAGTGCTTCAACTAGCAACACCATTCCTTTTAGGCCAAGTTTGTTACATAAAAAATCGGTGGTGTTGTTCTATTTACAATAAGGGTTTTTACAGATTATCAATGATCTACGTATAATGATAAAAGGGTGCCATTGTTTTTTACACTATTAGCATGTGATTATTAAATAAATTGATCGAATTTGATGATTAATTTTAACACAAATTCATGGAATTCATTTAAGGCTATCTTGATTCAAGACAAAATGACCTGACAGTTAGTGCTCCTAGGTTCGGTTCGGGTCCGGTCCGAAGTTTGCAAACTAGTTTGAGTTCGAATGTATTTTTTGGTGATGTACAAGTTTGCTTAATGCATTAAATTAAATTAATTAGTAAACTTTTGAGAATCGTAAGATAAAAACAATTCTATCGGTTTGATATAATTTTAGGTGATGAACAAGCTTATTTAGTGCTTGATTTTGAAAATCATAAAGGTTTATATAATTTTATTTAATAAAATTATATAAAATCTTATGATTTCAAAATTTTACCGATCAATTATAAATTCATGCACTAAGTAAACTTGTTCAGCACCAAAAAATACATTCGAACTCAAACTAGTTTACAAACTTCGGACTTGACTAAAATGTTTAAATATGCAAGCAAAAAGAGTAGATTTGAACTGAGTTCAAAAAGTTCTTACTACGTAAGTCAACTCAACTTTTTAACAACTCCACAAATATCAAGTCTGTGCTTAATTCTGATGCAAACAAAATGAATTTCCTTATGTCGTGTCTTATAAGTAAATTTTCATTTTGAAGTTAATCATAGTAAATTTTGTGATATTTACTTTTTTTTTACAATTCGTTTTTGCTACACGAGATCCTGTGATTTTATTGGATCCGGATAGGGTCGGAAGTGATCTTCAGCCCGGGATTTTCTTGACCTAAAGTGTTTCCAAACAAAATTCAGCGGATCGGCCAAAATCTGAGGTCGGAATAGGCTGGAATTGATAAATTTCTAAATTTTACTAATAAAATGGTAGCCACTACCGGATGATAATTTGGCTGATATTATTGCCTTATCTATGACGTAAGTTTTTTTTATAAGCGATACTATACGGAAGCATGTCATCATGTGTGAAAATTGCACGTCCGAAATCTGTGACAGGTTAAGTTACAGATGTCAAATTGTTATTCCGAGGTCAAAATATTCATCTTAAACCAACTTCAATTGCAATTTCATAAATAATAAACAATATATTGAATTTACTGCTTTACTCTCGGTTAAATTTATTTAAATAAATCACCAATATTAATTTATAATAAAAGACAATTTGATACAACTAAATGTTCTATCTTCTGCATTGTTATAAAAAAAAAACCTGCTCTTCAATTTAGTACATTATTTAATACATTTTTACTCAAATTGTATTCTTTTTTTCCTGTTTTTTTCTTTTTTCAAACAGGGATAGCCTGGGGATCTGAATTTTCTTTTGCCCCATTTATTGAAACAGATATTCCACTTGTCTTGTATTGTTTGATTGTCTCTACTTGAACCCTTATACGTGAACCACTTTTCATATGAATTGCTGGATCTAAATCACAATTAAGGTCATAAAGAAAGGAGAACAATCAGGAGATTGATTTTGACCTTGTAGTAATATAACAGTCTTTAAATTTATTCAATGAGATTTGCAATGTTTGTCTAGAATTTTGATAATCTGATTTAATGATTTCTAAAAATGAAGCAAACTCAGAAATATCAAAATTTTTTATTTTTTTATTTTTTTTGTTTGGTTCTCTAGATTTTTCAGAAAAATAAAAAAAAAATAATAACTAAATATAGTTAAATGTAATTAATAATTAAATACAATTAATAACTAAATTTTACTCACTCAATAGTTAAAGTATCATTTGATATTTTCATTTTCATGTACATAGTTTCATGATTTTATGATATATATTGTAGGCGTAGTGATGCATAAAAAGATTTGTTTTCAGCAACATAACTTGAAAACCATTTAAATAATTTTAGATTTACTTAAATTAGCAGGTTAAGTTTAAATAAGTATTCTATTATACTAACCAAGTGTTACATATGTATAAATAATACAATCATCTAGAGTCAAGAATAGAATATAATTAATTATCGACATATGTAATTTAACTGATACTGCTTCTTGGTACTTGCATAGAACTTCAGACATTTCTACAGAGCAGGTACAAGTTCTAATCTCACTGTTTACAATATAGGCAAGACTATTTGTCTTTGTACTAGATACTAAAAATTCATTTTTAATACTTGTTGTTTGAATATTGTTAGCATTTACTATTTTCTAGCCAGGGCACAGATATCGTTTTGCAATATGTAAAATTCTTGAATGCCAATGTGCAATTTTGAGCAATTGTCTTTCATAAAACCTTTTCATACTTGTGCTTATGAACTGAAACATCTGAATAGGATTATAAGCTTGTATCCTATCAAAAATTATATCTTTCATTATGTCAAAACTTCATTTAATATAATTATTTGTATTATTGCCATATATAGGAAGGCTGAGACAGAATAATAGAGCCCAATATTGTCACTGCTCTCACAGAAGATCAAAATGACTTTGTAGCTTAGTGTATTTATAAAATTCTTGCTTGAATTCATTATAATGTATAATCATTTCTAAACTCGATAATGATATAGGATCATCTTCATTTTTTTTCTAATAGATGCTTAGCCTTCTTTATTAATTTTATGTTTGGAGTCATAAAGTCACTTTCAAAATGCTTGTAAGAAATGAAATGTATACAAAAGACGAACTCCTATATAATATTAATTTATATCAGTAATTTATTCATATTGAACTACTAATTTTTTTTTTTTTTAAAAAAAAGAAAACTAACGATAATAATAAAATTATCTTGTAGTTAACAAAGTGTTAAAGCATTACATTCTGCATGTGAATTGTCTATAAGAAAACCTATCAGCCCAATTTCTGGTCCATGCCTATAAAAAACACTTGGTGGGAGAATTGTCTTGAGTATATTTAACTATATAATAAAAAATAAAATTAAATAAAAAATATATAAATCTATTTAATTTCATTATATAATATAATTCTATACTGCTATTTGAATAATTACTAATAAAGATATAAGCAAGGCCTCATTTTAATACCAAAAAAAAAAAAATTAATTCTATACTGCTTTTTCCAATATAATCTCAAATTTATCTGATGTAACAAATAGTTCAAGTAAAAATATACCAGCTATGCAACTGGTATATAATAGTGTTATATAAGTGTTGAGGGAATCAAAAGATGCTAATACATTTATATAACATATTTCACTTGTTTGAGGAGCTTTCTTATATACATGAAGCATAAGACCTGTCACAATGCAAAGAATAAAAAATGTTCTAATATGTGCATTATACTTTTGTAAAACAATCTTTCTATAACCTAAGTTATTATAATTCTCAACAACTATCTCTAGACAGTTAAACATAGATTTGCTATTAGCATTTCTGAGAGTTTCTTCTCTATATTGCTGAAAGAGACCATAGACATAATCATATCCAGGATTACTTGTACAATCAGCAAGAACTTCTAACAGTTCTTGTTCATTTGAAATGCTAAGATGTAATTCATCTTCATATATATGAAGTGTAGAAACAGATGAATGACTATTATTAAATAAATTTAACAATTTCTTGTGAACTTTCTCTTTAACTCACCAAAAACTTAATGATTTAGCAGAATTGATAACATGATTATATGTGTAACTTAAATTAATTTCTAGTAGATAAGTAAAGAGAAGTCTTTGATTTTCTAATCATAAATGAATAATCACAGTACAATATATATCTCATGCTCGAGATAATTAAGGACGCTTTACTTCGATATCACCTTGTTTCTTCTTTACTTCATGACTATGAATGCAGTGACGCTTTTTACGAAAAAGAACTCGATTTCCTTTGAACTGATAACCTCTTGTTTGTGACATTGTTGTTTTTGAATAAGATTGAAATGCCACAATCCACTTAGATGCACCTTCTACACTACTAACATCTACAAACATATCCAATTTAAAACATGGAATCTCGAAATTCTTCTATATTTTATACGATAATATACTATTGAATGTTTTAATTAAATAACTATAATCTTAGAAAAGAACACATTTTAAGACTTCCGATAACAAATCTCATGAAAATATCTAAAGTTAATTAATAAAAATAACAATATTATATAAGCTTTCTTTTAATATAATATTATGCATCATTATACTAAAACTAGCATTAATATTAATAAAATTTCAATTTGCAAATTGTCACTTTTCATATTAAGCATGATATCAGTTCCTTTTTTGTTAAACTTTATCCTTTTTGGTCAGATTTTAAAAAGTTAGCTCCTTTTTTATTAAAATTTTATTCTTTTTGGTCAGATTTTAAAAAATCAGCACCTTTTTTGTTAAATTTTAAAAAATTAGTTTTTTATATTTATTATACTTTATAAATTTTCTTAAAGATTTAAAATATATATATATTTATAGGTCACTATGTAACAAAACAAGAAAAAAAATTTTATTGAATCGTTCTTTACACTGGTGATCATAAATAATGCAACAAAAAAAAAATTTAGTCAGATTGTATTATCTTACGCAATTCTAGGTGTATTTGTTAAATTTTTTTTTTATTTTATTCACAAATACTATCTTTTTTAGATAGCAAAATTTTAATAATTGTTATTATTACCAATGCAAAGATAATTGTAAATTTATTACAAATCCTATGTTGCATTATTTTTGATCATTTTTGACAAAGATCAGATTACATGAGTTGTGTCACATAAAACATATAAAAATGAAAGTTTTATTGTTGATTCTGCATCTTAAGTAATGTTAGAATTGCTTACAAATCAAAAAAAAAAAAACCATACAACTTCTGCCAAATGAGCTCAAATATTGTTTTTTCTTCAAAAAGGGTATACCACAAGAACAGTAGGTCAGGCCCATCATGTTAACTTTTTCATAGTCTCACAAATTAGAAAAAAATGGTTAATAAACCATACACTTAAGATTTAGAAAGGGTTGGTCATCCAACTTTGTTGAATAAACCAACCCAAAGAAGAATAGTAAATTTAATTACTTCCTGTTGCTGCTCTACTGCTGTTGAAGTGAGGACCCACCTCAAAATAAATGAAGATATTGAAATTTCAGTGTTTACTATTCGGTGAATACTTCAAAACTATGGTTTAGTGTCAGGATTATAAAAAAAAAACCTCTACTTAAGCAATAGTCATCAAAAAACACAGCTCACTTTTATAAAAAAATATGAAAAATGGACCATCGAAGATTGGTTCAAAGTAATTTGGTTGGATGAGTCAAGATTCCAAATTTTTGGGTTAGATGGTAAGCAGTACTATTGGAAGTGTTATAGAGAACCATTAAATCAGTTTCATATAAAGCCTACTATAAAATATGATGGCAGATCAATTATGATTTGGGGTTGCATTACCTCTTGCGGTGTCAGCAGCTATTGTAAAGTTGATGGTACATTGGATACAGATCTGTATCTAAAGATACTCTATAAAGATTTGATGTGGACGATTGAGGATCATAGATTTGAAATCGGTGAAGTTGTTTTTCAACAAGATAGAGCATCTTGTCATACAACAACTTTGATCAAACATTGGCTTACAAGGAAGAAGATAAAGTTTTTTGACTGGCCTCCCCAATTGGCTGATCTAAACCCGATCGAACACTTGTGGGATGAAGTTGATTGTTGGCTTAGGGACCTTCCTGGTCAAATTTCAAGTAAAAAAGACCTCTAAGAAAAAATTCAGATATTATGACAGGCAATTGATATTAAAACCTGCATGAGGTTAATTCATTCAATGTCAGAGTGAATCTATAATGTAATTAGAGCCTGGGGTGGCTACACCAGATGGTGATAGCTGAAAATTATTAGAAAAAAAAATATTTTTTTTTTTTATATAAAAAAAATTTTTTAGTTTTACAATCGTGTTGCTATTAAAACGAGCAAAAATAATACAACACATATATTGAAATAAAGCTTGTATCTCCAAAAAATTTTAATCATTAAATTTTTAAATCCTTTTTATTAATAATAATATTACTATTTACAAATAAAAAAAAAAAAATTTAAGAAATATGTCTGGAATTGCATAAGATAATATGATCTGACTAAATTTTTTTTTGTCGCATTATTTATGATCGTCAGTGTATATCATATATCTCTTTACTTATAGTTTTTCCTTAAAACCCTTATCATCACTATTACTATTATATCTTCTAAACAACTTTTATGACCGATAATCCTGGTGATACAAGTAAAATGGCAAGTCAATCGCTTAACAAACAGGTATGTCATGTAACCTACAAGTCAGGATTAGTCGAAGAGGCGTGTTATATTTAGCAAGTATATAATGATAATTGTAGTTATGATTTGTATTATATAATAAAACAGAGAATTATTATAGAGTGAAAATGTTTGTTAAACACTAACTGAACTGTTTTTGAAGGGCTCGAAGCCTTTATTATATATCTTCATTTACATAGGACTCATTATACATTTTATTAGTAATATACTGCTTATACCATCTATAATGTTTATACTACTGTAAGGCCTGATAATGTGATGTAAATACTCTGCTGGGACCTTATGTGAGAACAGATATGATGATCAATTCCTCAATTTAGATATCCTGGCAATTAATCACATTAATGCGATTAATTAAATAAATTAAGAAAGTGGGATTAAGAAAATTAATTAGATAAGAGGGATTTATTAAGTAAATGAGTTTAAGTGAATAAATTAGAAGAATCGAATTAAAGGGTTTAAAGAGATAAATGTAATTATAAGTAAAAAGATATTATAAATAAAGGCTGAAATGGCCCTTTGAAGCAGTATGCTTCATTTGCTTTATTAAACAATAACTCCTAATACACTACATTATATATAATAAACACTAACACTAATACCATTACCAACCTTGTAAACTCCTGTAAATGTTGCCGTTCAACCCTTGGCCATGTGACTTACCCACTTGCATTCGTTGACTCAAAGTAACCAAAAGTCTTTCTCACCCACAAGCCAAATCTAACACCCTCTTTCGAAAAGGTTACTTGTCATATGTTACATGAGGTTTAGAATTTTGGAGCGACCGAGTCGCAAACTTCTGAACCCAACACTACTTATACTGATCATAATGTTTATAATAATTATTTTAATTATATTTTTGATCCCATTAATCCCCTTTATCCTATCGATATAAACCATCAATACGGTACCAAGTATACAGCTAATACAGTGTATACTGCTGGTAAACCCATTTATGGTAGGTGATCTATATAGCCGAGAGAGCGTGACTTAGGGTCATACGGTGAAGATCCCACATCACTCATGGATCACGTGTTTCGGGTCTAACACTGGGAAACACATTTTAGGTAGATGATCAACATAGCCGTTAATTGCATTACTGCGCCACATTGATCATCCCTGCCACGTGCTCCCGGGATCATGTTTCCACTGCTCACAATATCAATTGATTATGCATCGATTAATATCACAAAATTTGTCTAATCGGGCAAATGATTGCTGCACAGCGGCACATGCCAGCCAACCATTTGATCAATCGGATGATATTGTGAGCCCTGAAATTGGTCCTAACGTTATCACAGTTACATATTGTAATCGTAAAAGGGCAGTCGGATATGTCATGTAACCACTTTGGGAGGGTTAATTTCAGTCGAAAAAGGCATGTTAGATTTGGCGAGTGGTTTACTAGGTACTAGTCGAGTTCTACTTAGAGATGGGAGACTGCGCAGGCAATTTTCATAATTCTGGCCAGCTTTATAATCGAGGTTTGAATTACCAATCTGAAATCTGTTCGGATTGGCCCGAAAGAAATACAGATCTGCATCACCTGATTAATAGTAGTGTTCCGCAGAACTGAGCCGAAGATCTGGATCCGATCCGGATCTGACACCCGGTTCGGTTCCGGTTCCATCATAATATTGGTTCTGGGACTCGATTCATACCCGAATCGGTAATACCCGCCATACGTAATCTTGCGTAACAAAAAAAAAGATATAAAAATTCGTATAGCAATAGTTTTTTGAACCAAGATATTAATAAAAGTTTGTAGAAAGTAGCCTTGACGCCCAACCCAAAGTGATCTGGTGGCTGGACCTTTTTCTTTTTACTATTGCTGATTCCACACCCGATATAAAAAAAAAGTGTGACTAAATTATTGTGTGAATTTTGTTGTGAATTAGCCGTATATAAGTGTGAATTAGTAAGTGAACTTGGTTAATGACTTGTAAAATTTAATTTGAAAGAAAAAATTAAAACTGTATTTTTTTATATAGGTTGTCATGGAAATCTCACCTTCTCCATCGCCATCATTACTATCATTCGAATCTGAGGATAGTGAAACTATGAGTATTCAGTCAACGTTTGATCTAGGGTTAGAATCTGTTGCTACTACGAATGATAGATCTTTGGTATGGAAGTACTTTAAAAAACATGGGTCTTCCGCCAGATGTGACATTTGTGGATCATCATTGACATATTCAGATGGTTCAACCTCTAATCTCAGAAAGCATCTTAAACGTCGCAATCATATAAATAAGGTGCCAGAGTTGAATATTAAAAAAAAATCTACAGATACATTGAAAAATGAACAAAGTAAT